CAACTATTTTGCAACACTAAAGGAGGTAAAGTTTGACAGAAATTGGTACATACTGACTGCAATACCAATTATGTATACGTGTATATACATATGTAAATAATTTCTCAGAGTTTGTGTTGAATATATACATTAACTCTTTGTGTGGCTCATCTAATTTAAGTTACTTCCCGTATAAAGTAAACAACAAGCAACTGTGTGATGTCACAACCACAATATTTTGTAAATCCCACTTCCTTAAAAGTACAGAACATACAAGTTACAGCACAACAGTAAAGTACTGTACCTGAAACAAAACACGCTATTTTATTTCTTTGAAGCACCATATAAGCCCATATATTTTCTATCAGTTAGCCTTGTCCTTGTATCGATAGCTGAAATCTGAAAGCTATTTCTGTTTGTCTTCAGGAGTTCCTTGATAATAAGACTTCATGTTCTGTATTTCCTTATGGCAGCCAGCTTCCCGTAGGAAGAAAAGTAGGGATAAGTAAATAAAAGTGAGAGTATTGCGAACAGTGGTTAATAAGGATGAAGGTTCTTTCTTTGCTTCTGAAGTAAAAAAAGACAGCCTTCACTACTCTCCTTTGGCTAATTTTACTAGAAATGTGAACTCTTCTACTCAATGAAACCCCATGTTTCAACTGCAATATATTCATTGTAGAAACTTGTTTGGTCCACAAGCTAGCCTTTTAATATTGTTCATTTATACATATGTATACATAAATGTATATATATATATATATATATATATATATATATATAGTGTGCCAGCATTTTAATTTCTACCCTTCCTGTGCAATGGATACATTTCCCTTCCTTACTGTTGTCACAGGTATCAAAGGCACAGAACTGTGAAGAAAGGAGTTTGTGAACAACAAAATAGCTAGTACAGTATTGTCCCACCCCTTCAAGAAAGTCTGAAATGTTCAGGAGAACAGTTCTCCTTTTACCCATTTGCCCTTTACTGTCTGCCATTAAATGTACATGTACATCTCTTGTCCCTGCTCTCCTACGCAAGCTGTTGCAAGCACCACACTGAACATTGGTTTGTTACTGGGTACATACCTTAACTGAGCTTCTCAATTGAGTCTTAAAAACTAGAATACATCATAACATCATTCTGAAGGTGTTTAAAGCCCTCTTCATGAAAATTATATAAATCTTCCGATCGGTAAGAAAAATCATTTAATTTCATATCTGCAATCTTCATCATGATCCCTGAAAGAAGTATAGTTCTTGTTCACTAATCCTTCTCCAATTTTTTTAATATGTTTTATGAGTATTAAAGTATAAAGTGGAAGCAGAGTTTAGTATTCTGCTTTCAGTGATGAGAGCAGAAGGCAGGTATTGATGTGAGAGTTTTTGCTATATTACTATATATTTATAGATTTCTATATGTATTTCTATATATATATTTCTATATATATTTCTATATTTCTATAGCAATAACTTTGGAAGTATAGATAAAGTGCATATTTTTTTACTAGATGGCATCAACCCAGCCTCTTAAGGTAAGAGGAAGGGAAAAAAAACGGAAGAAAAAGAAACCGCTATACTACTGAGGAATTCAGTTTGTTTATTCCCAACTAAAATATTAAATACATAGTTACCACAGGAACATAAAGTATTCAGTTTTAAAGTTGATTCTAAACTAGCATTCCAAACTGGCATTCCAAACTATTTGAAGGTAACCTTTAACTGTAAGCATAAAAAACAAAGGAATACATTTCTTTCATTCTGAGATAAGGATTGTATTTTCTACCAATAACCACCTTGATCAAAAAATTGAAAGGCTCTGTTAAACAAATCTATATCTGAAACATTAATATATAACAACAAACACAGACTTCTGGGTACCACTGTTCAACAAGCACCTGCTTATTCTAGTGGATCTCAACCTGAGAAGCTTTGTAACTTTTCATAATATTCAAGATCACAAGCTAATTATTATTATTATTTTTAATCCAAACTCACTCTACACATATGAGCACAGACAGCTGGAAATTACGTACATGTATGTGCTACAAAAGCAGTATGTATCTTAAAGATTAGAAAAAGCCCTTACATACCCCCAGACTGAAAAAAAGTATGTTTACAAAAAGCATGAATACAAGTTGGCATGATAAACAAATGTTAAACAATGACTGATTATCATAATGAACCATCTATCTGTAATTGCTAGAAAGCCCTACATGAGATATTACGATTTTATTGTCTAAATGAGTATTAATTATGGTATGTCAAATTGCACGATGGAATAACTGAATCATAAAATATACTGAGTTGGAAGGGAGCCACAAAGATCATCAAGTCCAACTCCTGGGTCCCCAACGGACCACTCAAAAATCAAACTATGTCTGAGAACATTGTCCAAGAAATTCTTGAGCTCAGGCAGGCTCAGTGCCATGACCACTTCCCCAGGGAGCCTGTTCCAGTGCCCAGCCTCCCTCTCAGAGAAGAATATTTTCCTAACATCCAGACTGAACATGATGCATCTTTATGCTGCTCCTTTGAGTCCTGTTGCTGTCACCAGAGAGAAGGAATCAGCGTCTGCCCCTCCTCTTCCCTCATGAGGAAGCTGTAGGCTGCCATGAGGTCTCCCAGCAGCCTCTCCTCCAGGCTGAACAAATCAAGTGACTTCAGCCACTCCTCATAAATCTTGCCCTCTAGATCTATCTCCATCTTTGTAGCCCTCCTCTGGATGCTCTCTAATGGTTTTCTCCTTTTTGTATTGTGGTGCCCCAAACAGCACACAGTACTTAAGATGAGGCAGAACCAGTACAGGGCAGTGCAGGACAATCACTTCCCTTGACTGCCTAGCAATGCCGTGCTTGATTCACCTAAGGATGCAGTTGGCCTTCCTGGCTGCCAAGGCACACCATTGACTCATATTCAACCTGCTATTGACCAAAAACCCCAGGTCTCTTTCTGCAGGGCTGCTTTCCAGCTTCTGGTCTCCCAGTCTGTACATATTGCCAGGGTTGCCCTGTCCCAGGTGCAGAATCTGCCACTTGCTCTTGTTAAACTTCATATCGTTCGTGATTGCCTGGCTCTCTAATTTGTCAAGATCCCTCTGCAAGGCTTCTCTATCCTTTACAGAGTCAATAGTCCTCCATGTTTAGTGTCATCTGCACTGAAACAGCTAAACACTAAAACATTCTAAACACTTTCTCATACTATATCCAAGTAATTTATGAAAATGTTGGAGAGAACTGGCCCTAATACGGAGCCATGAGAAACCCTACTAGTGACTAGCCACCAGACTGATGTAACCCCATTTACTATATACCTTTGAGTCCAAACCGTCAACAATTGTTCACCCATTGTACTTTTTTTTTTTTTTTTAATCTAGCTGAACGTTTTGTCCCAAAGGATACTGTGAAAACCAGTATCAAAAGCTTTACTGAAATTCAAGAACATCATTTCATTATTTCATCAATTCATTACATCAGTTGGCTTCCCTCGGTCAACTAGATGGGTGACCTAGTCAGAAGAGGAAATTACATTTTTTAAGCAGGACCTTCCCCTTCTGAACCTGTGTTCTCTGTGATCAATGACCACATTGTCCTTCATTTTTTTTTCAATAACTCCCATAATAATCTTCTCCATAATTTTACCAGGCATTGAAGTGAGACTGACAGGCCTGTAATTACCAATAGAGTGTTGCCATTTTCATGGCTACTCTTACACACTCATCTGAAAACACATTAATCTAAACACATATAAATGTTCTCCTTTAAGTAAGTAACATAGTGTGTAATATTTTGTGATTTTCTTATAAAGAAAGCCATCACCTTCAGAAGAAAAAACATGAAGAAGAAACATTCTGAAAATACTATTGAATAAATGATGTGATCCAAAATGTCTCACAGGCTATATAAGGGGCTCAAAGAACAAATGTTAAAAAAAAAAAATCTAGTAAAAACAAATCCTTCACCACACACAACCCTGACAGCATTCCTTCCCTGCATCCCTTCAAATATAAAACTGTAGTAGACACTAAATTTCACAGGACTCTTCAGGTTCTGCTAAGATATTTTCTTATTTTCCTTGCAACATCAGGATAGTTTCATCATGCATTCTCTTGTCTAGTATCTCAGCTGCCTTACTCTTTTTCTTGTGTGTGAGTAACAACATCATTTTTACAGATATGTGCAGAGAAAAGAACAGTGCTTCATCTGTTTGCCTACGAACAATAACCAAATGTTTCAAACCTTTGAACAATTAGCACTGACTCTTCCCTGTACCTCTTAGGTACAAATTCTAATTTGCATAATTCCACATCAAATGAAAATCTAGCATAAATCCGTGAGACAAAAACAAATTGCCTAGATGATTTTTTTGAATGCAAAGACCTGGAAACAATACCTTACAGCAAAGTATTTTGAAAATTCAAAAAGTAATTCAACACTTGCTGGAGCAGGAATATGAATCTCGCCCCAGTTATGGTCATAAGACTTGATGCATCAGAAGGTTAAATACCTTTGGAAGATATCTGACATGGAGCTTATATTATCAGGTTAAATAAACTGTGATTATAAAGGATATGCGCCCATAAAACTTCTGAAACTTCACCATAATGATACTCTGTTTTCCTTGATGCAACTACTTTATATCAAATGACAACGACTTTTTACAGGAAAAAATGTACAAAAATCATTTAAAAAGAAACTCAAACGTGAAAAGGGAACATTTAACTCTAGGAGGGTGATTGTTGGAGTTAAACCAGAATCAAACCCAACAACACAGGACCCAACATCCAGTCCCACCCACCTTATAAATTTTGATGCTGCCATATATAACCTAAAGTTAAAAAATACACATATTCAAGACATTCAGCAACAATTTCTAATTAACACAAAACAAAACTTCAGGGAAAGGAATAGGAAGAAGAGAAGAAAAAGGAACAAACAAAAAATATTTTTCTTTGCATAGAAGTCTCACTATTACAAGCCATGCTTGGTATCTGTGTCATTAAAATGCAGTATATTAAAATCCAGTACCTTATCACACATGCATAGAGTCCGCTGTCTTGTACCACTGTTGGTCGGAACCAAATGGAGTCTTCTTCTTTGCTCATTCTAGTTCCATCAAAAGCTATAGGTTCCTCAAAATCTCCTGGTCCAGAGCTTTTGTACCACATCAAACTGAGTCCAGCACTTTGTGCTAGGGAGTAATTAGCTCTAATATATCCATAAAAAAGTGCACATTTTATACGAACAGGTTCTCCCACTAGAACTTGATATTTCTTGTAATCCACAGACCAGTCAGTGCATCCATCAACTAAAAGAGAGAAGAAAATTAAAAGATATTACCAGAGAGCTCAGTTTATATTGCAAGCTTTATTAGAGCGTACTGCATTTATGCAGAGCGTACTGCATTTGAGACAAAGTCCATTGAGTGAATAGCAGTAATCTTCTGATCCCTGAAAAATTAACTGTATTTTCACACCATTTATTTCTTGTACTTTTCTATGCAGAACAAAGTTAATAAGACAATTTGCATTAAATGCTGATAATTTCTGAGATAACTGAGCAATTGTTCTTTTTGTTTTGTGGAACTCCAGCATGAGCAGTTAGAAAATACTGAAATTAAACTGATGCAACACGGAAGCCATGTGGGACACAGGGTGTCATAATCACTGAATTGCATTAATCAAATAATTTCAGGATAACAATGCAAAATAAATAAGCATTACTCAAGAGATGTTAGGACAAGGAACTGCGGACTGAATCAAAAACTATGAAAGTTGGATTTGAAGGAGTAAAAGCTGTCTTAAAAACAGAAACAAGAGAAAATGTGCAAAAAGAGCGTGCCAGGCTCTTAATTCAATTTTCTAGAAGTTCACTGCAGATTTCTTAAAATGATTCATGTTTTTATTTTTTCCTGTCCTGATTAGAAATAGTTTTATAATAATTTTCATATTATTCACCTGTTGAATAATGTCAGACAATATCAATACCGTTCCAAAACAACTGTTCCTCAGAAGGCAATATCAGAATCCTTTCGCTTTCAAAAGAACAATCCCTCCCCCCCAAAAAAAAGAAAAAAAAAAGCCCCACAAGATTTTAATAAAAAATACCAAAACAACTAAAGGAGAATATAAACTTAATTCCTACAATGCTTTCCTTAATGACAGTTTATGGATTTCATTTGGTTTGTTGGTTGGTTACTTGGTTTTGATTTGTTTCTTTGTCTTTTAAGGTGTTAAGTGAGGAAAGTGTGCTGCTGCCTGGCTGCAGGGGCCTGCCTGGTGCACACTGACTCTACCCAGACTGGGGGATGTGGCAGCTGTTTCCAATTGGAAGGTCCAACTTGTACCAAAGCTAAGGACATAGCTAAGGACATGGCCTGGAGACGCACTGACACAGATAGAGACGCACAGACATACTGACACAACTGGTCACACAGGCTGCCTCAGCCAAGGCCTGCTTCCTGCAGAACTTACGCACAGGACACAGCTAGCTGAGACCCCTTGCTCCTCTCCAGCTGGTAGAGGTCAAAGTCTACTAGCGAAGGCACATACACGGGACTCGCTCTAGGTTCACAAGCACACACACATTCACAGATTCTTACAGTACTGGCACAGCCACCTAGCACCCCTCTCCAGATCCTGAGCCCCATACCCACTTCAAGGTCGCCTACTCACTGGCTGGTCCAGCTTGAAGTTTGCTGCACAAACACAGCACTCGCACCCTTGTGCACACCACATTCACAGGTCTCCCTAAGCATACTAGCATGGACTCCCTGCCCACCTGATACCCTAGTCCAGATCCAAGGCCCTCACTACTCCCCATCTGGTCCAGCTTAAAGTTTGCTAGTGAATACCTCCTCCCCTTCCCTTCCCGCCCCTCCCCCTCCACCTCCTCCTCCCACAGAGCAGATTGGCAAGATACAGGCATGTGCCCCCTCCAACAGTGGCACAAGGCTGTGATCCCCAGCCCTGTTGTCCAGCTAACAACATGGGGCTCACACTTGCCTCACCCATTCTGATCCACACAAGTAGCTGGTTTGGGAAAAGACATTGTTCCCACCCAATGTCTGGGAGCAGAAGACTCTAATTGCTCTAGCAGCTGATGCTGGGACCCCCTCTCTCCAGTAGCTGGCATCACAGGCCAGGGGCGTCCAAATCCCTGGTGTCTGACTCTAGTAGTTGGCAGCAATTCCACTTACATACAGAGAGGCCTCAACAGCAGCTGGCACTTAATCATTGCAATGCTCATGTGCATAGGAGAGAGACTGTGAATATGCAGAGAGAGTTAAGAAAACGTTTAATGAGATAAATAAGATAGGACAGACTGGTGATCGGGCACAAAGCTTGGCCATACAACAGCACGTACTGGCCCCAGTTTACACATTGGTCTTTTTCTAGCCATCCCTGCTCCTGTTCCTATTTCCCCTTGCACACCACCAATGGATTTGAAGAGCTCTGCAGTTTCTACACCTTCCCAGTCTGGATGCTGGAGTTGACAATCTTACCAGATGCAAGGTTCATCCTTCCTGGAGGTAGTGCCTGTAGCATTTTAGCCCACCAATTAGTGTGACCGGGCAGTTTGTTTCTTGTGATTGTCTCCCCGTTTAGAAATCCTGTCAGTCCAGCTTCAATAAACATTCCTACATTCTCACATGCCCTTATCAATTAGTTTGACTGACCAGACTTGGTTTCCATCACTTCTTCCTTTTCTTATTATCCCTTGTTGCATTGGATAAACATCCTTGCCAAATACTGTTAAAGGAGCAGACACTCTACTTCCATATACCCTCACAGAAAGAATTTCAACAATGAAAATTCACAATTAGGTTCATTCATTTAAAACTTTGTTGTTAAGCACTGCCTAGCTAACTAGGCCCTCACACCAGACACTATACAGCAATCAGTACATACAAAGGTCAATTTATTTCACCTTAAAATGCATACCTATGATTCATGTAAGTATTTGGCCTTTGCATTTGCCACTTCACAGTGCTAAGAGCTTGCAGAGCAAACATAGAAAATCAAAAAAAAAAAAAAAAAAAAAAAAGTCAGTCTGTGCAGTGAACAGAATTCTCATAGTGAAATATATGCCTTTGGACTGTCTCCTCCTATGTTTACTTTTAAGGACAGGAAAAGACATTATGTCCCTGTTTTCATATTCCTACTCAACAGTCCCTAAAAATTAGTAAACTTGACAAGGCTCTAAAAAGATGGAGATGAATGTTTACAGCAAGTGAAGTGAATGGATACAAAACTGCAGTATGGCTTTCCATAGGACTTAAGAATCTAACTTCCATTTATTTCCAAATTCATTTACATCCTTGATCATTTCATATTTTACCTTTCTAAAAGAGCATTCTCTCTCTGATCTGATTCTATTTCTCTCTGCTTCTAAATCCCAATGCCAAAAATGAATTAATATACACCTCTAAGCAGCATTAATTCCATTATGCAAGTTAACAGCTAATAGCTTCTTCATCATACTTGATTATCAAATTGTAATATTGCCTTTCACTGTCTAATTAAGTTACTACACTTTCATTTATATTAGTCTTTTTTTTTTTTTTTTTTCCTCCCCTCTCAGGATGTTTGGCTCTCTAATGGCTCTCTATTCCTTGAACTTGAGGAATCCATGAATCCTACAATAATACACCAACTCGGTTTCCAGACTTTCTATTTAATGAAGAATAAACTACGCAGAGCAGATTTTCAACTATTTTAAACTTTTTTTTCAGCATGCTATTCCCGTACCAAGGATCACATGAAGTCCATTTTATTAGGCTCAGGCATAGGGCCTAGAAGGCATTCTATAGTCATGAACAAACAGACAAAATATCCAAAGTTTTGCTTGAACTAACATTTTCAAAGTTTCATTCTTGAGTTTTAAGGAGAATATTAAAAATAAACTAAGTATGTAGGAATTGCACTTACATTAATTCTCTGTGACATATCTATATGATATATATATTTGGATGACATTTCTGTGGAAAGAAAATGTAAATCAAAATCTCCTAAACGTATAGAATTGTATAATTTTTAACCTTAATATTTCATATCACAAAGTAAAACAAACATTAGATTTTAATGTAACTATCTACCAAACTACTTAGTAGTTTGTTGGCAATAACCATATCAGTATGTCTCACCAGATGGATTAAGAGATCAGCAAGTTACACAAATATGAATATTAGTGTGCTCATAAGATTATGGATTTGTATTATATATATATATATATATATATATATATATTAACTTGAGCTTTAGTAAAAGTTCTAATTTGGTTTGCTTGCTTGCTTGTTTTGTAAAATTTAAATATCTGTGACGTCATTTTTAGATACACAAAAACAGACAAGTAGCAGGTCATGATGTGACATTGGGCTTATGTGGTGAACTTTTGGTAGCAGGGGGCAGGGGCTACAGGGGTGGCCTCTGGAAGGATAACCCAAGAGCTTCCCCACTTCAAACAGAATCAGTTCCATCCAGCTTCAAAAGGCACCTGCTGCTGGCCAAAGCTAAGCCCTTCAGTAATGCTGGCAGTGTCTCTGTGAGAACATACTTTAAAAATGGTGAAAACCACTGCACAATATCTGTGAGAGAGAAAATTTGAGAGGAACAATGATGCAGCCCTCCAGGTCAGTGCAGAAGGAGGACAGGAAGTGCTCTAGGCATAGAGCAGCAGCTCCCCTGAAGGCCATGGAGAGGCCCCTGGTGGAGCAGGCTGTCCCCCTGCAGCCCACGGGTCCCACATGGAGCAGATCTCCGTGCTGCAGCCCATGGAGGAGCCCCAGTGAAGCAGGTGGATGTGGCCTGGAGGAGGCTGCAGCCCATGGAGCAGGCCCCAGGCTAGAGCTGCAGCCTGTGGAGAGGATCCCATGCAGGAGCAGTTTTTGAATAACCACAGTCCACAAGAAGGAACTAAGAAGAACTAAGCTGGACCTGTTCTTGAAAAACTGTAGCCCAATTGCAGCAGGCCATGAAGTATCCATGGGAGGGACCCCACACTGGAGCAAGGGAAGAAAATGAGGAATTAGGGGCATAAATGAAAAGTTATGAACCCCTATTACCTACTATGCCACTTGGGGAGGGGTAGGATGAGGAGATAGTGGAAGAGTTGGGAAAAAAAGAATGTAGTTAAGCCTTAGAAGAAGGGAGAGGTGTTTTTGTCTTTTTTTTTTTTTTTTTTTTTTTTTCTCTTACTATCTTACTTAATTTTTTAATTGGCAATAAATTATATTAATCTTCCCCTAGTTGAGTCTGTTTTGTCTATGGCAATAACTGGTGAGTGATCTCCTTGCCTTTATCTCAACCA